AGATGACAGCATGGTATTTTAGGTGACTATCCAAACCTTCTCTCACCTCACCCCCTCACACACATAAGACATGGGAAATTTAAGCATGAAAGAATGTTCAACAGTATCTGAGGACAAAATCCCACCTGTAAGAGTGGGCTTTGCTGATGTCCCATATACCTTTCCCTCAGTTATATGCAAAGGGTTCTTCTAGTTCTAGACTTCAATGTTTCTGTGATATTCTGACTTTAGGATTCATATTACTTCCCAAATGATTTGAAATTAGTTTTAACATCAAGCATAATGCAAAAATGGTATGAAAACATGAATGCAGAACAGAGGCCTTTAACAAAGTAGAGAAACTTGTATTTATCAGAAACTTAAGGAGACAAATTCCAAGGTAATGTCTTTCAGAATAGTGAGAAACTAAGACACATTTGGAGAACATCATAAATATGTAGCTAAACAAGTACTGGTGCCATTATCTTTTTTCTTCTGCCAAAAAAGAAAAAAAAGATTTTGAACCACTGGTTCCAGGACCACACTTCCTATGTTATAATTCTTGCTAACATAATGAATGTCCCTCCATAGTGTGTCCCATACCTATTCTCCAGTCTCACATCTTTTAGCATCCCCTTCTCACACTAGGCTGTGGAAATACAGAAGTATTCCATTTATTCAAATGTACTGTGCTACTTCAAACCTCCATGCCTTTGCTTATTGTTGTCCCTCTGCCTGTATAACCTCACCTTCACCCCAATCTATCTGTCATATCTCATCTATGAAGCCTTCCATGAATCTCTGGTTGAAATGACCATTTCCTCATCTATGGCCCTGCCGTCCATTGCAATGCTGTAGAACACCTGCATATTTCCTACCACAAAAACATGAACTCCTGAAGGGGAAAAGACAGGGCTTTTCATCTCAGTATCCCTAGTATCTAGTACATACACAGTAAATGACCACATTAATCAATTTTGAGGCTGGGTTATAAAAGTAACTTAATAACTGTTTTTAACATCCTTTAAATTATTACATAATCCCACAGTGACTACTTTGAAGGCAAGAACATTAATTTGGGGGATTATAAATTCTGGCAAGTTAAAAATCAGTCACATTAACTTTATCCTCACTTTCAAACTGTGTCCTCAAAGACACTACCAGGTATTAAATTAAGGGACACTTTCATTTTAATTTTGGGGGGCATATATGTAAATTAAGACAGGCCAGGTTATGCTGCAATAGTAAATGATTTCTCAAGATTTCAGTGGGTTAAAACAGCATTAGTTTCACCCTGAATGGCGTGGCTCAGTGGGTTGGGCATTGTACCGCAAAACAAAAGATCACTGATTCAATTCCTGGTCCCCCCAGCTGGGGGCATGCAAGAGGCAACCAATCAATGTTTCTCTCCCTCTCTTCCTCCCTTCCCCTCTCTCTAAAAATAAATAAGTACAATCTTTAAAAAATAGCATGAGTTTCTTATACTTTACAAAGTGTTCCCCAACATTTCCAGTACCCACCTGACCGCATATATAGTTATTATAATATTATTGACTGCCATATTTTGCCATATATAATGTGTACTTTTTGCCCAACTTTCTGAGGAAAAAATACAGATGCACATTATACATGGGTATAATGATTACATACCATGGGTATAAAAATCCCATGTATAATGTGCACAAAAACATGGGTGCACATTACACATAGCAAAACACAGTATATTCTCTATGCTGTATTTTATATCCTCATGACTATTTTGTGACTATGAATCTGTACTTCTTAATCCCTTCACCTTTTTCACCCACCCCACAACCTTCCCTCCCCTCTGGAAATCATCAGTCTGTTCTCTAGATCTGTGAGTCTGTTTTGGTTTTGTTTGTTTATATTGCTCTTTAGATGCCACATGTAAGTGAAATCTTTCTCTCCCAAACAGTCCACTGCAGGTCTGGGTGACTGTTTAGGGCAGCTGTCCTCCATTAGATGGCTGAGCAATGTATTTCCATTATCAATAAGTGCTTCCCTATTTAACAAGGCAGAGGAAGAGAGCACTGGAGAGTTGAGAACTAACAAAGGCTTCCACTTAAGAAGTGACACACATCACTTTTGCTCATATTCCACTTACCAAAACAAGTCATATGGCCACATCTAACTTCAAGAGAGGAGAAAATTATAATCCTATTCTGTGATCAGAAGAAAAAGCACAAGCAGCATTAGTAAGCAGCACTAATACCTACCACAGTGAGGAACTAGTGGACCCAATCTAGGCAAGAAACAATGCTCCATAAGCTACCTATTGAATTATGAGCCCAATCTATTCATGCTAACTCAATTTTGCCTCCCAATATCTCTGTATTTCTTACATTATTTCTTTATTGAGCACCCCTATGTGCCAGGCTCTAAATTAAATGCTTTACCATCTATTACTTCAATGGACTCTCACAAATACCCTAAGAAATAGACCCCATTATTACTTCCATTTGACAGTTATGGAGACTGAGGCTGAGAAAGATTAAGCAACTTCAACAATGTCATAAGTTAGTAACCAAGAGCAAAGAACCAAGACTGTAATACTATAAAACTTGTGATGTGTCCTTTGTACCACACATATCTTTCTGTCCAAAGCTGAGCTCTGAAACTCTGCTCAGTCTCCTTCCCCTCTCAATTCCTTCAGGAACTCATCCCATTAATGATTTACCATCCTCACTTGCTGATTTGCTTGAAACCCAGCCTCTCCTCTACTATCAACTCCCAGTCAATCATTCAAAATCACTTAGTAACCCCCCATCTGAAATTTGTTTTCTTCAACCTAAGATCTTCCCTCCCTCTGTTTGCCCTGCCTCCACCCAACCTCAGCATACTCATGTGCTCCATTTTTTCCTTCCTTAATTCTTTGCAGTCTGTCCTCGGTCCTCAACATCCTGCCAGCTACAACTGCTCTGAAGCATTCCTAGTGAACAAATCCAATGTTTGTGCACTTCCATGTAACCTTGTCCACTAGAGTGACTTAGAAACCTTCCACACTCTTAGCCCTGCCTCCTAGACACCACTTTCCTGCATTATCCTCATAGCACTGCTCTGACCAGTGTCTCTGTTTCCACTGGCTCCTTTGCCTCCTCCTCTGTCTTCACGTGGACTACCAAGTTCTGTTCAATTGTCATTCTCTCTCTTCCCTCCTGCTACAGACTGAACTGTGTTCCCTCAAAATTCATATTTTGAAGCCCTAGCCTCCAGTACGATGGTATCTGGAGATGGGGATTTGAGGAGGTAATAAGGTTTAGATTAGGTCATGAGGGTGAGGTTACAATGGTATTAGTGCCCTTATAAGTGCGCTCTCTCTCTCTCTCTCTCTCTCTCTCTCTCTCTCTCTCTCTCTCTCTCTCTCTCCCCCTCTCTCTCTTTCTCTCCCTCTTCCTCCCCTCCCTGCCCCAAATTATCTTCCTCAATGACCAGATGTACTCCTGGAGCTTCAACTATCACCATTGTGTACACAGCTATACAATATATTCACAGTACACCTTTAGGCAAGTTACTCTAACTCTCTGAGACACAGTCCTTTCATTTATAAAGTAAAAGTATATTTAGTGCTCTCCTTTACAGCACTGCTAGCTAAATGACCTACTGAATGCAGAGCAGTTTATCCAGTTTGTGGTATATAGTAAATACTCAAAATATGTATTTTATTTTGTTGGGTTTTTTTTTAATGACCAGTAGACAGCCAGTGGATAGGAGGCAGTTGTGGGTACAGTAGGGAGGCAAGTTTGAGAAAATCATACCTCAGATACTGGTACCAGTTAAACCTCAGTTAAATTCCAGTTCTACCACTTAGTGACCTTGGAACCATGGGAAGCTTTCTTATTTTCGCAGTTTTCTCATCTGCAAAATCAAAATACTTAAGTATGGATTCCTCAGGTGGGTATTTAAGCAACCCCCTCCAATAATCTGGCCTAATTGTACTTTTCTAGTTTTCTGACCCATTATTTTCCTATATATACTACATATTGTAGCCAAATCAGACTACTTAGTGTTCCCTCTGAACTGAATTGTTTAAAAAAAATTTTTGTATCCTCACCCAAGGACATTTTCTCACTGCTTTGAGAGAGAGAGAGAGAGAGAGAGATGCAAGAGAGACGTATCAATTGGTTGCTTTCTCAAATGTACTCCAACCAGGGATCAAATCTGCAACCTGGGTATGTGCCCTGACTGGGAATTGAAACTGCAACTCTTTGGTCTTTGGGATTACACTCCAAGCAACTGAGTCACATTGGCCAGGGCTAAATTGAATTCTTACAAAGCAGCATAGTGTAATAGAGTCAAATAGACCTGGATTGAATCCCAGCTCTGCTACTTAGTAGCTGTGAAACCAGCAGCACATTATTTACCCTCTCTGAGACTCAGTTTCCTTACATGTAGAAAGAATAATACCATATGATCTCACCTATAAGTGGAACCTAATCAACAAAACAAACAAGCAAGCAAAATAGAACATGGAAATAAAGAACAAACTGACTGTAACCAGAGGGGAGCGGGAAGGAGGTAACAGGGGAAAGAAGGGAAAGGGTCAAGTCAAGGAACATGTATAAAGGACCCATGGGCCTTGGCTGGTGTGACTCCGTGGATTGGGCACCACCCTACCAACCAGAGGGTCATGGGTTTGATTCCTGATCAGGGTACATGCCTGGGTTGTGGGCCAGGTCCCTGGTGCAGGACACTAAGAGGCAACCATGCACTGATGATTCTTTCCTTTTTTTTCTCTTTCCCTTCCCCTCTCTCTAAAAATAAATAAATAAAATATTTTAAAAATATTTTATTTGCAGCCCTGGCTGGCATAGCTCAGTGTATTGAGTGTGGGCTGCGAACCAAAGCATTGCAGGTTCGATTCCCAGTCAGGGCACATGCCTGGGTTGCAGGCCACAGCCCCCAGCAACCACACATTGGTGTTTCTCTCTCTCTCTCTTTCTCCCTCCCTTCCCTCTCTAAAAATGAATAAATAAAATCTTGAAAAAGATGTAAAAAAAAAGATTTTATTTGATGCAGAAAGGAAATTGTACAAGCAGATGTATAAACCTGTGGCTGGCTCCTCATGCCAGGAGAATGGTGCAAGCATGATTCTCCAGGACATTGCAAGAGCCAGAGAGGACATCCAGGGTCTTGTGGAGACCACAGAGAGCTCATCATCCAGATCACCAGCCTGGAGGTGGAGAACCAGTGCCTGAGAGGTACAGAACCTGCAGCAGTCCATCTCCAAGCTGGAAGCCAACTGAGTGTGCTGGAGATGAGCATGCCCACCCACTGGGCCACAGCCCCACAGACCCAGCAAGTGTCTCCCGTGTGCCAAGAGGAGCCCCCCACCAAGAAGACAGCTACCACCGCGGAGGATAATGAGGACGATGACACTGACCTGTGTGTCAGTAATGAGGAAGATGACAAGGAGGCCATCAAGCTGTGGGTGGAATGGCTGCAGCAGCACACAGAGAAGAAGGCCAAGAAGCCTATACTGGCAGCCAAGTCCTCCATCCTCCTGGATGTTGGGCCCTGGGATGACGAGATGGACATGGCCCAACTGGAGGCCTGAGTGTGCTCTGCCCAGCTGGATGAGATGACCTGGGTGTACTCCAAGTTGGTGCCAGTGAACTATGGCATCCTTAAGCTGCAGATCCAGTGTGTGGTGGAGGATGACAAGGTAGGGACCAACGTGCTAGAAGAGGAGATCACCAAGTTTGAGGAGCAGGTGCAGAGTGTTGACATTGCTGCTTTCAGCAAAACCTAGGCCCTAGAAGGAAGCCTACTATCCCTGCTGCTATTTAAGACTGAGATTTCCACTAAAAAAAAGGAGTTGTCAAACAAAAAAGAAATAAAGAATACACATCTAGAAAGAATATAATTCTAAAGGGGAAGTCATATGTGTTATCTTAAGGCCTTCAACTGATCACCTGAGGTCCATCCACATTATGAAGGGTTATCTGCTTTACTCAAATTCCATCAATCTCAATGTTAATCTCATCCCCAAAAAAAGACCTTTACAGAAATAGCCAGAATAATGTTTGACCAAATATATGGGCACTGTGACCCAGCCAAGTGCCCATAAAGCCATCACAACCACATAAAGCCAATATATACTAAGAACTCAATACAAGGACTAACTAATCTGGCCTAGTTTAGAAAACAATGCAAACTACTAGAAATATAATATTTTTCCAGCAGATTCTAATTTATATATTTAAAGTAAAAATAACATCCATGACTTCCCTAAAAAGCCCTTTTGCTAATCTTTCAGTAAATATATTAATTAACCCTACAATAAGAGAGTCTCTACCAATCACTGCCATTTCAGGAGTAATTTTACTTTCTATAGATTAGAACATTTTTGACTTTTTAATACTAATTGCTTTAAGTGTGTTTGTGATCAGATTGGGGAGAGTGGCAGGGTCAGTGAGCAAGGAGTCAGATGTAGTTGGGGAAGGACATACATGAGGCTACAACTCTATTGTTGATATATAATGATTTTAAAACTTGGGGATGAGTACATTTATGTTTTCTATATTGTTATTTTCTACCTTTGGAATATTTTGAACTTTTCATATTTATTTTTTAATCTGAGGCTCAGTAAACTGAGGTCATATTTCCAAAATCAAACAGAATTCAAACCCAGACTGGGTAATACCAAAGCCATTGATGTTTGCATTCTGGCCAAGTACCCATTAACAATGTCCTCTATAAAGTTACACCAATTTCCATCATCAATCACTTTAGTCATGGCTAAATAATCCCTGTTTCTTCTTGACCTCAATACAGTCTTCACAGCACACTTTTAGTCACCTAAATTTCAGCAGCACAACACAGCTCTGGGAAAACACCATCAAGAGGATTAAAAGTGAAGGTCAGTTTATAAAAATTTCCAAGCATCTGTCATGAGATCTGATCTGTGTATCTCCCAGTGTAGAGTAGTACTACGTGTGCATTGGCAATTCTTAGTAACTGCAACAGTGCCAGGAGGAGGAGGAAGCTAGTCATTGCTATAAATTTCTTGGTTTTGATGTTTGGGGAAAAAATTATCCCTAGATCCTATTACTGTCCTGTATGATTGTAGTGACAGCTGTATTACCAAGGCAATAATATAAATGGCCTTATGTTAACATAGCCCAAATGTGTTGGCTTGAAAGTGAGAGGATAGGATATAGCTGGATAGTGCTACACAAGTAGGGAACCTATAATAATACTCAAAAACTATATCTAGAGACAGCACATCTACCTTATGCAACCACCAATCAAAACATATTCCTCAGAAATCTTCTAAGTCTCAAAATAAGCACAAGCAGCAAAACAATTTTATAGATTCAATAGAAGGCATGGGCAACAATCATGAAACTGACACGACACCATGGACTTTTTTTTTTTTTTGCTTCCAAGTACAAATACAATGTAATCTAAAGCAGACAAATCTTTTTTTTTTTAGGATTTTATTTATTTATTTTTAGGGAGAGGGAAAAGGAGGGAGAAAGAGAGGGAGGGAAACATTAATTGGTTGCCTCTTGCATGCCCCCAACCAGGGATCTGGCCTATAACCCAGGCATGTGCACTGGCTGGGAATTGAACCGGTGACCTCTTGGTTTGCAGGATGACACCCAACCCACTGAGCCACACTAGCAAGAGCTAAAGCAAACAAATCTTTTGTGCTAGATACTTGCTATTTTGAAAAATTTATCTGGCTTTAATATTTACTTTTTGGAGATTACAAGGGTATCCAAGGTGAATATATTAGTTTTCTAAGGTTGCCATACTAACTATCACAAACTGAGTGATTTAAACAACAGAAATGTATTATCTCACAGTTCCACAGGCTAATAGTCCAAAATCAAGGTGTCAGTAGGGCCATGCATTTTCTGATGGCTCTAGGGGAGAATTCTTCCTCACCTCTTATCTTCTGGCATTTGCTGGCAATCATTGGCATGTTTTTGGCTTATAGATGCATCATTCCAGTCACATGGCCATCTTCCTCTTGTGTGTTTTTGCACTACCTTTCTTCTGTGTATATCTCTCTGTGTGTCCAATTTCTCCTTTTTATAAGAATACCAGTCATACTGGATGAGGATGCACCCTAATGACCTGATTTTAACTTGATTACCTCTGCAAAGATCCTGTATCCAAACAAGGTCACATTATAAAGTACCGATGGCAAAAAATAATACTCAGTCTTCTGCAGAAGCAGTTCACAGATAATTTTTTTATCAATCTATTCCAAGTGACCATGTGGCTTAAAGGAATTGTTGGAGGAAGGAGAGAGGCCAAGAAGGACTAACCATGGGAGGCAGCCAATTAACAACAGATGCTCCAAATGAGTATGTGTATGCACGTTTGATGAGAAAATCAAGGCATAATAAATAGCAGATGCAGAAGTAATGCTTTCCCATTGGGGAAGAGAAGTTGGGACAGGACATGCAGCTATAAGGCAAAAGAAAAACATCCCAAAGAGATTGTTATTGTCAACACTCATTATCCCATGGAAATGACCTTCAATCAGGATGAATGCTCACAATATTGCATTCAATTACAAGTTGAATATGAAACATGATTGCTGGTGTCATGCTTGTATCTAAATAAGAAATTGGGAGACAATCACGGTAATGATGTGTGGTGTTGGGGTGAGCTCACATCAGGAGAGGGCAAACCTTGCTTAAGGACTAATTTCTACCCTGCAGGAGACAAATAGAGGGGAACTAGAGCTCTAAAGCCATGCCAACTAAAGGATACTAAGGGATCTCAGGCTGATTTGTAGCATCAAATGACCAGGAGTGCCATTGAAGTAGGGAGAGAATGGATCTCACTGACTCATAGTTTTCCAAGTCTGACTCTTGGACCCTGAGATCTCAGTTATCTATGGTGCTTCTGATCCCTGGGTCCCATTCCAATCCTCCTTAACCTGAACTTCTGAGGATAGAAGCACCAAGAAACTGCAGTTCTATAGGATATCCAGGTGCCAATTCTTCTGATGTGTCCATCATAAAAAAATGATGGATCAAAGATAAATGAGATGCTGGATACCTCAGCTAATATCAAGTACAGGATCCTGGATTCCACCACTTAATACATTTTTAAAAATATCTATTGTTGCCCTGGCCAGGGCATGTATGCAGAGCAACAGCTTGATGTTTCTCTCTCACATCTCTTTCTCTCTCTCTTTCCCTCCCTCCCTCCCTCTTTCCCTGCCTCTCTAAAAAATCAATAATATTTAAAATATAAATGTATTTCACCAATAGTAATAGTGATGTTATAAGTTATGTGACAAAACACAGAAGTTCATTATAGTCTTATTTTGAGTTTTGAGAATTTTAGCAAAAAGTAGATTAGTACACCCTTCTCATTGTAACTTAGCTTAAAATCTTATGAAAACTTCAGATGCAAAGAAAATAGACATGTAGATATATATTTCTCTACTTACCCCTGTCCTCATGTTTATGCTGGTTCAAAACACCTTTAATCAGGTCGAAAAAAATTAATTAAGCTTCGAAGTACTCACATATCTAATTGTTACATATTTGATTTAAATGACTGTTATTGTTATCATTAAAAAACTATAATTTACTTAGTACGTACCCTGTACTAACCACTGAAAATGCATTATTTCACTGACCACCCTCAACAATCCTCAGAGGTAAGTCCCATTATTATCTCCATTTTATACAGGAGGAACTGAGGTTCGGAGGAGTTAAGGAATTCAACCAAGATCACACAGTAGGGGAGCTAGGATAATAACAAGCCTCTGAGTGCCTTGCACTGCAGGAAAGAAACAAAAGCAGCAATGCAGATGATACAAAACAATAGAAAATCCACAAGCACAGTAGATTTGGTTTCAAAATGCAGTAGGTGATTTTTGACAGCAGAAAAGCCTTCCTAATTGTTTTTCAGGCCAGCATTACAATTATTCTATTGGTGTTAACTCTTGTCATCTGGGGCTACTAAGGAATAGGCCTGAACTTGTTTAAAGAGAACCAATGAGTAATCCAAAGTTTACAGTATTTCAAAGAGTGTAAAGTGCTATGAGGTTAGAGTAAACCAGGCAGTCTGAACTATTCACAGAGTGGTTTGGTGTTCACATGCTGAATAGAAGCACTTGCTTGCACACTGAAATCTCTTACTTCTTCTAGCCAGTTAATAGCTTTAATCTTTGTGCTCCCCACAGATTTACTCTTTGTAGTAATATCCATGTCATCTAATGACAAGATGGGATAACTAATGTAAGGTTGAGTCTGACCCCTAATATTCCCACACTGAAACTCTATTAGATTCCACATTGACAGCTTTTCCGGACTCTAATCAACCAGCTTCTCACTGAGCCAAAGAGTACAAGGACCCAAGGTCCCTCAAGAGCAAAGCAGTTTATTTAAATAACACATTTAAGTAGATGGGAAAGTGTGTTGCATTCTGAAAGTCAACATTCTCATGCAGAAAGCAAAAGGCCCAGTGTGCCTGCTCCTGATGCAGTGGTATAACTGACACACATCCCTCAGCCCACCTCCCACTGCAGTCCTTCTGTTGGGTCATTTCTAAGTTCATTTCAGTGGAACCAGCTAAAGTGGTTTCAGAAAGATATATTTGCAAGAAGACTGTAGCCTGCCTACAGGGAAAACCCAGACTTTGGTTTACTATGCTCAATATCTGGGGACTACACTTACAAAGCCCCAGAAAAGACAGATACTGAGGAACTGGCATTCCTACCCCAGATAGGTGCAACAGAGCAAAAACCTTGAGCTTCTTATCATTGAAAGAATT